AGTACTCATATGTAAGGTTTAAACAAGTCGATTTGAGCTTAGATGTGCTCGATTCGTCAACTGAATAAGCTCGAATCATATTGAGCTCGTAAAAGTTACTCATTTCCTTTAACACTTGTGCTCATATCACTACAATTTAATTTTTTTAAAAGCAATCCCCATATCTTTAAGTTACAAAATTACAAAAAAAAAGACTCAAAATATTTAAGTCTGACCTGACTAGTATCGTAGGAAGATAACTGATTTATGACGTCAAAAGTGAGTTGGTACAGTGAGTAAAAGATGATGATACAGATGGGAATGGAGAGTCGCATCACCTGAAACTCGTATAACGCCCTAGTCTACGCATCACTAAAGTGCGACTTTAAAACGTAGGACCTACACTTTACCCATTTGTGGCGTGTCCCTGAGAATCTCTTGTCGCCTTCAACGGGAAAGCTTTTCCTTGGACCCAGTCAACCCACATTACTTATAATAATGAAAATTAATTTTCCTTGTTATATAACTATATATTTATATTATTCCAAGCTCAGATCTAAACCGAGCTCGGTTTAGTAAACCGAGCTCTGAACCGATCGTATCTGGCTCACTGGCTGGACGAAACAATATATTAACTGCTGTTGATCATGATGATGAAAAAGAGTGTGTATGAGTGTATCTTCCAAATGGGAGCTGTAGTGTAATAGTGAAATTACCATCGGATTCTCACAGCAAATATTGCTGAACACAAGAAGTGGCTTAACGTTTTTTTTTTTTTAAATTTTTGTTAGGTCTTTTCCTTTTAGTAACTGTTGAAAATGTCGAATTTTTCAGTAGGTACCATATTGCAGAAGGCCCCGCATATAACATGTATACATGCATGCCTGCCTGCCTGCCTAAATTGTGGGGGGCCTGCCTAAATTTATTTATTTAATTTTATTTTGAAAAGTTTTAAATATTTTATACTTCATATAAAAAAAAATTTATGTAATAATATTGTAATAAATACATATATGGGCAGACCTGATCGGGTCAGGCCGACTTGTTTGTAAAACGGGGCGCGCCCGATCTACCCAATTGGATTCGAGCCAATTGTCATTTCTAATGTGTGTGTGTGTGTGAGAGAGAGAGAGAGAGATCACTCCATTTGTGTGTATTAGAAAGGTATGACTGCAAACGAATCGAGCGGCTCGCGAGCCGCTCGCGAGTACTCGAGTCAAAGCTTGACTCGAGCTCGAGTTTGACCGAACTCGAGTCGAGCTCGTGCGGCTCGAACACGAACTCGAGTCGAGCTCGAGCCCATATTTTGTCTTGTCGAGCGGCTCGAGATACACGTTAATAACTAAAATACCCCTTATTATATATATTAGCATATGTGCTTAATGGTAATTTTACCTTTCCACTTAAAAATTTTCGAGCTTAACTCGAGCCGAGCTCGAGCATTTTGATTTCGAGCCGAGCTCGAGCTCTTGTAATTTGTTATCGAGTCGAGCTCAAGCATAAAAAATTGAGCTCGAGCAGCTAAAAAAAAACTCAATCCTGTTCGATAAGGCTAATGCTCGGCTCGTTTGCAGCCCTAGTTAGTTAGAGGAGAATTTGTTAGCCCAAATGGGTTATATAAAATCCCTTCCCCCGTGCTTGATGATTGATCCAAAAGTAAAAACCAAAGATTCCAAAATAGTAGTAATTTCAGCTTTCATCGAATTCAAGATTTTTTTCCCCAAAAGCAGAAAAACCAACACAACACACACATTATTTTCTCTGTGACATGTCATTTAATCCATCACGGTAAAAAAAATCCAGCGCCTCAGAATTTTTATTTTATTTTTTTTTATTAGAAAAAAAAAACAGCATTGTTATTATTTATTAACTCGTCCTTTTTCCCTTACCGCACTAGCATTTTAACAGTGCCATTCAAATACTCAAAAAAAAAACATCTCTCCATATTTTCACCGTTTCTTGAAAAAAAAAAACAATTTTATTTTATTGTATATATATATATATATATATGTTGCAAACTAAAAAAATCTTTGATGATGGCTCTATCAAGAAACTACCAGCTGCGAGGTCTCAGTTTTGCATTCACGGCCCTGTGCTTTT